AGCCATATGGTGACGAGAAATGTTGGACATGCACAACAGATACAAGTAGGTAAATAACAAGTCATCGACGGACTGGAAAATATCTGGAGTATCACAGATATGGATATAAAACTAGAATGGAAAACTAAAACATTTAATTAAAGCAGACAATACAATATAAAACACGGGCTATAGGTCGCCAACAACTGAAGGTAGATCACAATACTAGAAACCATGGGGACTTACATTACTTTTACTACCTGCATGGACTCTAGTTGGATTTACACCATCCCTTCAACCGCTGGCGATGGTAGGAAGATTTAGCCGAAATTTAAAATAACTAGAATACTACGATTTAAAAGTATGGTTGAGCGAAATTGACTTTGAAGGTTTTTGGGACATCACACGTTGTAAGCTCTTCCTACTACGGTGGAGATGATTCCTTTCTTGACATGAGCTAGATGGTTCGAGGCGTAGAGAAGGTACTGGTCGGTGTGGATTCACACAGGCTTCAGATGTTAACGTTTCTAACCGACCATAACCCCCTGGGCCCCGTTCCACAAAGCTCTCGTAGGCCTAAGATCTCGTAACTTTTCTCGTAGCATTCGGAAATCCAATGTTACAGTTTAGCAGGTACCAATGCTACGAGAAAAGCTACGAGATCTTAGGCCTACGAAGCTTTGTGAAACGAGGGCCCTGGATGCCGAGTTTGTTTTCACGCACATTTTCATACAGTTTGAAAAGTGAACGTTGTGCGAGAATACGCTCGCGTGGTCCTGGATCTACGTACGGCTATAAAATTACAGAGAAATGTAGAATATTAAATTTCCTATCCGTTGGTATAAATATAAGTGCAACTACCTCGGCGGTATGAAAAATAGACCTTGCTAAATGTTGTCCAATTCTTTGTTATGCGTTAAAAACAGTAAATTTCTCCGCTTTTTATCGCGCACCGATAAAAGCACTGTGCTACGAATTGTTTGGTTTGGAATCTTTACGGAAAGTGTGAGCAGAAAAGAAAATACAGCTTGATATCTGAACGACATAAGTGTATATGAATTGGGTTTATGTGTTTATGCATAACGTTTATACGCTTAACATTAAAATGACTCGCAATAAATGTCAAAATGGATTTTCTTGTATGACGTCAAACGACGACAGAGAGAGGTCATAAACGTTTAATGATAAGGGGGCATAACTCCGTTATGCTTAACACTAGGTCAATGTAACTCAAGATCACATGGAGAGAATTCGTTGTGGATACGGACGCTATATTTTCGTTATTTTGTGTTCTCGGTGAACCAAACTATTCCAATTTTAAGTTCTCTAATGTGAGCGAATACGCTTTGGTAGTTTCACAATTTATAACAAAAGATGACAACGTACTACATGTGAAAGCACGTAATAGCGATTTGGATGGCCTATCCGATATATTAAGTTAGTTCTTAGATTCCCATATTCTCCTGTTTTGTGTAGATGTAATTTGACTAATTCCTTTGCATCGTTATTACCAGAGTACTAAGCCATATCTTCAAATGTAATGAAATTGCAGAAAATAATACAACATTTTGGTTGACGTCATTGCTTGTTTTATGCATTTTGCGACGTCGGAAAAAACGACATTGGTATGCTTGATTAGTATATATATATATATATCTCCTTAATTTCCATTAATTGTACAAAAGGTCTCGGCTTCTATGTCAGAATTTAACACTCTTTAGGACAAAACATAAAATGACTGATTTTTCCATTTTAAATAGTGTCCTGAACATATGAACACTTAGACGGTTTGACTGTATATCTTATTGTGAGCAACACGCGCACCTGTTTGGCATCAATTTAACGTAAATGAAAAAATAATATTTCACAACACCCGAATATCTTTGTTTAGGATAAGAATTTTCTTTTGTTTATGATTATGTAGCTATTTCTCTTCATAAGTATGCAATGAAAGATGCAAAAAGATAGCTTTATATATGGAACTATATATATTAGAATATGGATGCAAGATTTGTCAAATTAAGACATGACATGGTTTTATCTATTTTTAAACAATTTTCGTAGAAATATAGTTTAGAGTTTGATATTCCTGTCATCACAATATTATTTAAATCAAATATGAATTGATTATATTATCGAAAACAGTGATAGTGAATCATAAAACGTTACCGACAAACGCGCACCTGGCCAATCAATATACATCATTGTTTTGTCTATAAAACGACACAAAAATATGCAATGAACACAAGAGGAATTCCTTGAAATATGTGTGCATATACATTTCATAACATATATAGATAGGTTTCATTAAATATTATCAGTTTTACTTATAAGGTTGAATTAAAACGCCGTTCATTAACCTGTTCATATGGAACTGCAATATTAGTCGAAATATTGTACATCACAGGAACTAAAGTAGTTGCAGTAATGACTACGTGGGATCTTCTAACACTTGTGTAAAAGGTATAAAATATGGTGTACTACACTAAATATGTCAATTTCTAATGTAAATATTATTCAAACAATCAAAACTTTTCAAGAATAGAAACGTATACCCTATATCCACGTATGATATGATATTGACCAAGGCTAAATGCTTAGATACTGAAAATAGTTTGATGAAAAAAAAATATCTGAATGATACGCAAAATATACACCCTAATACTGAAAGTGTAATCGGAAGAACAGGGCGATTGTGTTTACTCTTGTTCAACCGACCTTCACCTCAAAGAAATTACCTAATATAATGCTACCCAACAATGTTGACGTATGACATCACTACCGATGACCTATTTCTTACAAAATGGCGGCTTTGCTGACAAGGATACATAGGATTTTGCGAGGACCCTTCCACTGATTCGGGGATCGTTTGTACGTAAATATGACAGCAGTGAAAGTAATCAGAATGATTCCTGACTATCTGTGTATTGTTATTATATTTTTTATCATTTTCACTGTAAGTAAGAGAAAAAGCCAAAAATGCTGATAATTACAGTTGTCGTTCTGCGTGATTTTTCGTCAGTCGCTGGCGTCACGCTGCACGGAAACTTTGACATTTTTTATGAATCAAATCAAAATCATTGCATTGTATCTGTTTATAATTTCCTGTTCTGAAGCTGCGATTTTCTGTGCAGTTTATTCTCTTCCATGCATGATATTTTATCTAGACGGATTGGTGTGCCATAAGACAAAGACCAGTTGCAATTTGATTCTAAAATGCCATGGGGAATTCAGTGATGCAATTTTCAGAAGCTGAATATGAAATATACGTGATGTAATAGTCGTCTCAATACCGGCCTTCGCGAAACGTGATTTTGTAAACACTATCCACTTTGGCGGAAGCGCTCTACGGCGTTCGTGTAAGTGTATTTTTCGAAATCATCCCAACCGATTCTAGATTCATCAGCAACGTCTCCAGAATTATCATCAGCGATTTCATAATAAAACTGATACCAGTGATCATGAATATGTTATTTTGAAATTCAATACTCCCAGTAATTATCCGATTTTCACATTTCAAAACATGCAAGCAAATAACACTGTGAATCGCGATTTTAGTGCTGTGTCAAAAATGGCGACATTTTCGATGAAGCCTATTTTGAAGGTCATTTTCAGCACTTGAGCTTTGTCTAAAAATAATAGTGCATGGTATCAAGAAACAGGACATTTCCGCAGAATTCGAAACTGTGAAGTGTATTTGTGTGCGCGGGATATATTGATTTTTATTGGACTTCAAATTGAGGGTTGAAGGGGAAGGACATATATGTCTTAACTGACAAGTCCCACCCTCTCCCCGTCATAGCAGACCAGCCCACCCCTCATCCCGTCGCAACAGACCAGCCCCACCCTCACCCCGTCATAACTGATTAGCCCCACCCTCTCCTCTGCATGGCTGATCAGTCATAACTGATCAGTCCTCCCTCTGCCGTCTCGTCCACCCTGATCAGCCCTCACCCCCTCTGCTCCATCCCTCTCCGTCATAACTGATCGGCCCCACCCTCTCCCGTCATAACAGACCAGCTCCATCCCTCTCCCCCCGTCATAACTGATCAGTCCCACCCTCTCCCGTCGTAACTGATCAGCCCTCCTCTGCCGTCATAACTGATCAGCCCCCCACCCTCTCCCCGTCATAACAGTCAGACCAGCCCCCATCCTCTCCCCGTCATAACTGGATCAGTCCCACTCTCCCCGTCGTAACTGATCAGTCCCACACCTCTCCCCGTCACTTAACTGATCAGTCCCACCCTCTCCCCGTCATAACTGATCAGTCCCACCCTCTCCCCCGTCGTAACTGATCAGCCTCTCCCTCTAACAGACCAGCCTATCCTCACCCCGTCATAACTGATAGTCTCGCACTTTTCCTTGTAGTCATAGATCAGTCCCAATTCCCCCGTCATAACCTATCCCCGTCATAACAGACCAGCCCCATGCCGTCACCCAGCCCCACCTCACCCGTCATAACTGATCAGTCCCACCCTCTCCCCGTCGTAACTGATCAGCCCCTCTACCTGTCATAATCTGATCAGCCCCACCCTCTCCCGTCATAACAGACCAGCCCCATCCTCACCCCCCGTCATAACTGATCAGTCCCACCCTTCCCAGTCATAACAGATCAGTCCACCCTCCCCGTCATGGCTGACAAGTACCATCCTCTCCCCGTCATAACTGAGTCCCACCCCCTCCCCCACTGACAAGTCCTCACTCCCGTCATAACTGATCAGTGACCTATCTCCAGTCCCTATCAGTCCCGGTTTGACCTCACCCCGATAAGGACCAGTCCCTAAGCCTCCGGTTTTGATCAGAGGGCTACTATCTTATACCTCCTATACCATTAGACGGACGTAACCCAGCCTGTGTTTTGGTCAGACGGTCTGACTGTCCTGAACCTCCTATACCGCTAGACGGACGTAACCCAGCCTGTGTTTTGATCAGACGGTCTGACTGTCCTGAACCTCCTATACCGTTAGACGGACATAACCCAGCCTGTGTTTTGATCAGACGGTCTGACTGTCCTGAACCTCCTATATACCGTTAGACGGACGTAACCCAGCCTGTGTTTTGATCAGACGGTCTGACTGTCCTGAACCTCCTATACCGTTAGACGGACATAACCCAGCCTGTGTTTTGATCAGACGGACTGACTGTCCTGAACCTCCTATACCGTTAGACGGACATAACCCAGCCTGTGTTTTGGTCAGACGGACTGACTGTCCTGAACCTCCTATAGTACCGTTAGACGGACGTAACCCAGCCTGTGTTTTGATCAGACGGACTGACTGTCCTGAACCTCCTATACCGTTAGACGGACATAACCCAGCCTGTGTTTTGATCAGACGGTCTGACTGTCCTGAACCTCCTATAGTACCGTTAGACGGACATAACCCAGCCTGTGTTTTGATCTGACGGTCTGACTTTCCTGAACCTCCTATACCGTTAGACGGACATAACCCAGCCTGTGTTTTGATCTGACAGTCGGTCTGACTGTCCTGAACCTCCTATACCGTTAGACGGACATAACCCAGCCAGTGTTTTGGTCAGACGGTCTGACTGTCCTGAACCTCCTATAGTACCGTTAGACGGACGTAACCCAGCCTGTGTTTTGTTCAGACGGTCTGACTGTCCTGAACCTCCTATACCGTTAGACGGACATAACCAAGCCTGTGTTTTTGATCAGACGGTCTGACTGTCCTGAACCTCCTATACCGTTAGACGGACATCACCCAGTCTGTGTTCGCTACAACATATAAAGGAAGAAGTATTAACGCATAGGATAACACACAATGCATGTGGCTGCTAAGAAAGTCCTTTTGGTTGAATAGATTTCCTGTACTGTTTCCCAGACCTTGGGTCCTCTCTATACATCCTGATGTCCTACATCCAGTGTAGCGTCCTCCTTGTGATACATACCCCGTGAACATCCGGGTTATAGTTAGTTTACTGCGTACCATACTTGTCTGAAGGGACGACTGACGACTCATTTATGTAGATTGGTGCTCATGACGTTAATCACAGTATTGTGTGACTCGGACTTTCATGCTGATTTAAGTCTGAGTGAGACGTTTAAGAAGAAACAAACCAATATTATAATGAACAGGACACAGACTCGTTGAGGATGTTTGGTCACCATATGCTTCTCTCTACTCCGTACATTCCCATATAGGACACATGTACCCGGTCTAAGCCCCTGTAGTTTACTGTGCATGGATCCGTCCGTTTTGCTTCAAAATGAAATGGTCGCGGGTTCGAATCTAGGTTCATCCCGATAACATTTCTGGATTGATCAGCAACAGTCGACCATTTTACGGAAATTGTAAAGGACCGAGGCCTGTTTTACTTCAAGCTGTTGCTGTTCAAAGCCGTGGTAAACAATACTCACTCACTCACTCACTTTCGCATGTACTTTTTGTCGCTCACGGCAATAAAAGAGCTTTATCGTTTTTGTAATTATGTCATTGTCAGTGTTGCGACAATCGGAAAAAGGCTCTAAAGCGAATTGGTTATGGCAAGGTGGAAACGTGAGGTGAAATAAGGTAGATCAGGTAAGTTCTACATCAACGTGCATTCGACGTGTGTGGTTGCTTTTCCTAGTCTGGACAACGCCTTGTCACAGCCAGAGGATCGACCACCAACTCTCTAGACAGACGCTACATAGGAGACGGCCGCTTGAACGTCGATAGCCCCTGATAACTGTAAATGGTGTGGAATATCTAACATTCTTATGGACTCTAAACGCTTTTTGAAATGTAAAAACATATTTCGTTCTCATTCACCTAATCCCCAATTTTACGTAGTCAACAATATTTCAGCTCTATGGAGGCGATCTGTAAATAATTGCTTCTGGACCAGACAATCCAGTGATCAACAGCATGTGCACCGATCTATGCAGTTGGGATGCGAGGACAATCAAGTCAGTCTAACCACCCGATCCCATTTGTCGCCTTTTACGACAAGCATGGGTTGCTGAAGACCGATTCTTACCCGGATCTTCACGGGTCCGCCTTTTATAACAGGCATGGGTTGGTGAAGACCGACTCTTACCCGGATCTTCACCGGTCCGCCTTTTACAACAGGCATGGGTTGGTGAAGACCGACTCCTACCCGGATCTTCACGGGTCTGCCTTTTACAAGCATGGGTTGCTGAAGACCAATTCTCACCCACATCTTCACGGGTCCGCCTTTTACAAGCATGGGTTGCTGAAGACCAGTTCTCACTCGGATCTTCACGGGTCCGCCTTTTACGACAGGCATGGGTTGCTGAAGACCGATACTTACCCGGATCCTCACGGGTCCGCATTTTACAAGCATGGGTTACTGAAGACCAATTCTCATCCAGATCTTCACAGGTCCGCCTTTTACAAGCATGGGTTGCTGAAGACCAATTCTCACCCACATCTTCACGGGTCCGCATTTTACAAGCATGGGTTGCTGAAGACCAATTCTCACCCACATCTACACGGGTCCACCTTTACGACGGGCATGAGTTGCTGAAGACCAATTCTCACCCAGATCTTCAAGGGTCCGCTTTTTACAAGTATGGGTTGCTGAGAGACCACTTGTTCCGCCTTTTACATAAATTCTCACCCAGATCTTCACAGTTCCGCCTTTTACAAGTATGGGTTGCTGAAGACCAATTCTCACCCAGATCTTCACGGTTCCGCCTTTTACAAGTATGGGTTGCTGAAGACCGATTCTAACCCTAATCTTCACGGTTCCTCCTTTTACAAGTATGGGTTGCTGAAGACCGATTCTAACCCGGATCTATAGGGTGCACTGTGTAAGAGCCACAACGGTGAATTTCTTCAATTTTGCAAAGTACCAATAATCAGATATCTACGACTGTATCTCAATCTAACAACCAGGTTAACCGTACACAAGCTGTCAGGAGCTCGCATGACCCATTTTTCAAATTTCCAATTGCAACATCGCGGTAAATGCAGTTACTTCCGTGAAGAGGTCAAGGCCATGAGGTCACTGCTATATCCGGGTGGGTAAGCGAATACGGCGGAATTTTAAAATGTCAACTAGGCCTTTTGAAAGCTTTTTGATATATGTTTTTCAATTTATCATTTTGTTTCATGGGCGATTAATGCAGCCAATAAACAAAACGTTATTTGTTATCTCTGAATTTGGGGTTTGTTACTATAGTTATTGACAGTTTAACCACCTATCACCTGACGTGGGCGATACCACTGTCCAGAGACTTAAAGACGAGGCCACTGTGTATGTGTGTGTGTGTGTGTGTTTGGTTTCCTTCTTTCAGAGTAATACGGATTACATAATACAACATTGAACCTGAAAATTGTAAAATGTTCAATTCTAACGTGCACCAGGCGATTCATTGTTCATCCCTGTTCTTTTGATCAAACAAGATAAAGACGAACAATTCTCCACTCTAAACAGGGTGCAATTCTTCTAAATTTAATAAACGATAATTTAACTTTTGTAAGTGTATAAAATATAGCCCGTGCCATCGTCCTTGGGAGTCTATTTTTGTGAAGGACGGTCTGTTAAATAGGTATGGCCGTCCTGTGGTCGGAGGTAATATTTGTAAAAAGAAACTTAAATTGTTGAATTTTATTGGTTTAGTTTTTGGGACTGGCTGTGTTTGTTCAGGACAGGTCACTGTTTTGGACAACCAGTCCTTGGACAGGCCACATTTATATACTATTTGTCGCAAGTGAATGATGTCTTGATACCACCCACTATCATATTTGGCAAAGCAAAAGTACTGAAGAAGATTTTTCAAAATTAGGTAAATCTTAAATTTCGCCATTGTTGATGGTGTTGTTTTCTGTATGTTAGCAAATATAAAAATCGGATAATTAATCAGGATTTTTAAAATGGCATATTAGTGATCACTGATATCTGTATTTCATCTAATCACCAATGGTGATGGAAAATACAGAAACACAAACGCCGAAGTGAGATTTCCGCCACATTGGATAGTGTTTTAAAAATCACGTTTGCAAAGACCGGTCATGAGACGACTAATATTACGTCACATATATTTCACATTCAGCTGCGACAAATGCATCACTGAATTCCTCATACATTTGAGAATAAAATAGCAAATGGTCTTTGTCACCAATGCCAAGTGTCCAGATGATCAAACGAAATATATTTGGTGTGAAAACGAAAGCTATGCTCGGAAGACCGCGCTTGTTTGAGAACAATCCAGATTTTATACTGTAACATGTTCTAAAATTGTCAGACATCCATTCGTCAATTGTTGTCTCGGTATTTTCTAACTTCACTTTGTTACAATATAAAAATAAAATAAATATAAAAACAAATAGCAAGACGTAGGTAGTCAGGGTGTTAAAGGGCAAGTTTACACGAAAATTAACCTTTTTGTCTTGCAATTTCTCATCATAAAACGTGTTTGTCAAGTAGTTTTATAGACAAAACAGTACAAATATCAGAAGTAACTAGTTTATTTTTTGCGTTATATCGATTCAAATTTTTCACATTTACCGAGTGTTCTATGGCCACAGTAAACACACCATGGCTTACGTCCCTTGGAAATGACGTCATTGGTGCCAAACCGATAAACTAATGACGTTGTTAGACACATTTCACGTGGCGAAGATATAGGTGTGGTTCTAGTGTCTCGATGCGCAGGCTACTGTTTTAATCCAGCTGGCCGTCAGCTGGCTATGTGATCAGTTGCACAGTGTGATGACGTTGCAGTTGTATACAAAAAACGTATACATTGTACAAACAGTGTTACCACGTAACCAAATACTACAACATTCAACCTGAGTCGGTAGTCATTCAACAGTATCGTTTTTCACAAAAACTAAAGCGTTTATGCACTACACCTAGCTTGCCATCGGTGAATGTGTCGGCATTCTACGTTTGTTACTTAATTCCTGCATATATCCACTCTTCCTACCTATCGATACCACAATTATCCAAATACATCACGAAGATAAATGAAAGTGGCAGTTGTTAATTCTGTTTGAAATTCGTTTTCTATGATACCATTTCTATGACGCCCATTGTAAGGCAAATACATGTATACTGAAAATTACATGCATCGTAAATCTGGCCAATTTGGACAGATTACGAAATCCCCATTCACTGTGTTTTCGTAATTTATAGTATTGATGTCATAATTCAAATGTCAAATTTTGCTGGGAGAATTGAATTAAAGAGAAAAAAAAAAAAACCACCCAAGAACCCGTATCATTGTGATCAGCGGTATTTTAAAAAATTTTTGATCGAATCACCAATGCTCGTTCGAAACATTGTCGATACAACAGCTAGAGAATCGCTGAGAATGTTTTTGAAAATACGCACAGTTAACGTCAAAGTGAATTTTCAGCCATATTGCAGAGTGTTTATAAAATAACGTCACACGTGCACTTACACTAATCCCAGAATTCCACATACAGTTCAAAATATAATGACAAATGGTCTTTGTCACCAATACCAAGTGTTTCAGTGAAATCTAACGAAATAAATCAGATGCCGCGCTGGGAAAGGACCACTTGTTTGAAATGTAAACAAAGTCAATCTCAGATTTTACACTGTGTATCTGTTCGCCTACTTTTGTTTCATACACTTGCTCATTAGTTTTATACCATGCACGGGAATGGTATAGTAGCAAGCGGTAGTTATACAAAATAGGTGTATTCCAATGATTTCCGAGATTCATCACAACATATTGTAGTTTCTGAAAGCGTGACGCCATGATTGACGCAAACTCACGAACACCCACGATGGAAATTCTCCACCCCTGGTCACAATGAAAACAAAAGGAAAATAACAACCAGCAGATTGTCAGAATGTTTCGGACTACTTACATGTCACATTTATGTATATACGTTGCTTGAAACAACGAAATTTTCCGTCGAAAAATCCGATGTACTCGTGTACACGCCATTTTGAGAGTGTCACTTCCCGATAGTGATGTCATACGTACGTCAACATTGTTAAACATATTTAGTATTTTCATTGAGGTGAGGCTATGAATGAAAATACACATTATCAATCTGTCCTGCTGATTACATTTTCAGTTCTTATGCTTCTTTCAGTATTTTCACAAACTTTTCTCACGTGATTAATTTCAGTATTATTATTTTTTGATTTGGGACTAGACAGGAGACCAGTCTAAAATCAAGTGGCACCAATTACGTCATAATCAAAGGGCGGTAACTCTGACCTGTTTAGCTCGGCATTTAGGGCCGCATAATGGCATAACATTTCAGCACTTATTTTGAGGGTTTTACTGTCATTGTAAGAAAAATGAGTGTATCATCTCAAACAGTGATATTAAATAATTAAAATATTTCACTTTGGTTCACATAAGAATAAATGTGATTTTATCGTGTACACTTCCCCTATTGGTAACTGTTTATCTATTAAGGACATTATTTTAATTGTAAGTCATTCATTTTCATGTTCTGCAATGGACGGAATGGCAGCCAAAAAACGAAGCCTTTTATAAAATTAACGGAAAATATATGAGGTACATATGTTGATCAACGAACATACAAATGTCGGCTTTTCCGACGTCGCAAAAGATCCATAAAGCAAATCATGGCGTCATGTTTTCAGTAATTTCTTTACATTTGAAGATGTAATTTGAACTCTGTTTAATAGTGGTGCGGAATTACTCAAAGTACATCAACACAAACAAGGGAATATGGGAATCTAAGAACTAATGTAGATATGGGACAGGACCATCCATTTCGCTGTTACACAATTTCTCATGTTGTGTGATTTCAATATTTCTTCTAATTTGTGATGCTAGCAAAACGTATTATGTCTAGCCATATATATATAGTGAATGCATAACGTTAATCATAAGCACACAAATGATTTGATATATACTTATGCCATTCAGATACAACCAGACAGTATTTAGTTCCCTCACACATTCCATGTAGACGAAAACAAATATCGTCGCGCAGTGCTTTTGTTAGAGACAGTTACTGTTTTTTAGCAAAATTTCGTAGCAGTGTTTATTTTTCAAGGAGGCTTAGTGTCTACAGTCAGTATTTGAATTTATCCCATCGGATAGGATTGGTTGGTTGGTTGGTTGGTTGGATTGGTGGATTCAAGGCCGCTCTCACCAGTATTCCTGCTATATGGCGGCGGTCTGTAAATATTCGAGCCTGGACCAGACAACCCAGTGATCAACAGTATGAGCATCGATCCACGCAATTGGATACGATGACACGTGTCAACTAAGTCAGCCAGCCGGACCACCCGATCCCGTCAGTCGCCTCTTACGACCAGCATGGTTACTGAAGACCAATATTCTAACCCGGATCACATACATCAGAGGGACCTTAATTAGATATTCTACATTACTGTGCAGGTGTATTGCCTAAGGTAGATTTGGCTCCGCGCCAACTCGATTTTCGCATAGCGTTAACTTTTCAGACTTGTGTGTCCCCCCAAAAACAAAACTCGGCATCCAGGGGTTAATATCATCAACACTATTTGAACTGGTGACAAAGACCATCAGTCATTTTGATTTAAAAAATGTATGAGGAATTCAGGGACGTGTGTGTTGCAGCTGAGTGTTAAATATATGTGATGTAATAGGCGTCTCATGACCAGCTCTCTCTATATATAAACATAGAAGTCTGTAAACACTCTTAAATATGACAGAAAGCTCACTTCAGCGTTTGATCTAAACGATTTCAGGGGTAAAGGCGAGGTTTCAGAATAATCACTGGCGATTTGATGAAAAAACACATAACAGTAAAGACTAATAGACTATTTTTCAGTTCAGTTCAACGGGTAATTATCCCATATTTACATATGTACATATTATCATACAGTAATCGATGCCGCGAATGGAAATATTTGTCTTCCTGGCATCCATTGGAGTTAATACAGCCGAGATGATTTGAGTGATGATTGTTATCAGGTTTTATTTTTGTATATTTGTGCGTAGTAGTCACTGCAGAAAGGGTACATTTCCCCGTGGGCATCAAAGGGTTAAAATTCAGCAGTAATCATCTACAGATGTCCATTCTTCCTTTGTTGAACGATACCGACACATGGTATTTGACCAAATGCTGCTTTGTGCTGTACGGCTTTGATGCCAGCATTGCGCCGCTCTAAGGTCCTATCTGGCTGAGAAGATGGCCGGGCACCTCGGTGTATATCTGTGACGTCACCAGCGGTGTGACGTCACTGTCACTGTACAAATGGCGCCATGTCAGCTGGGTCAGTCTGAGGTCTAGAGAGCGGCAGCGACGTATAAAACAAACAGCTTGTTGTTGTCTCGTTTCACAATTTCGCGATCTATTCACAGAACAAAATTAACGCAGGGTTATGTTAAGACAAGCGACGTTTACCTACAATCACTCACCGTTTATGTTTCCACTCACTTCACAATCTTTCTTACCCGATCACGCGAGGGCTCCAAACACAACAAATGACAAAATGTCTGGAAAATGCTTTCAACAAGTTTTATTTATGTTCAAAAACGAAAAAGGGAATCACCCTGAATCGTGACGCGACAAGCGTGGACGGCACGCACCTCGTCAGTGTCGGTAACGACATGTGCACCGTCTCTGTCCACACCAACACTTTGGCCACAGAAGTGTCCACCACGTGACACCAGAAGACTCCACCACTCGCGGATGTCCATAGACTCTCGCGAAGTGAATCACTAATCCACCCGTCGTTGTCCCTGGCGTTGATGTCCAGCACGTTCAGTGGCGATCAGCTTCACGATCTCAGGTCTCCACCCCAACAGGCCAAGTGAAGGACGTTCCAACGTTTCTGTCCACCGAAAAGCGACACATCAGCCCCTCTACCCACCAGGAACTCCACATCTCTGTGTCCTCCGTACGCCGCCATCACCGGTGTCCTGCTGTAGTCTCCTCGTGTTGATGTCCACGTGACCCGCTGCCAGGATCCGCTTCACTCTTCCAGGTCACCGGCCCAGCTGGCGGAGTAAGAGGTCGCGGTCTGCTGCTGCTGGTGATGGAGTCGCTGCAACACAAAGTGAAACTGTGTACATCGAACATCTTTGTCCGCACATCTACAATATGCTTTTCATCATGTGATACGTGACTCCGGACATTTGTTGCTACATCGTTTCGAAACAATTCCATCATGGCTGACAACAATACAACATGGCGGCAATGTCAACATGTGGTTTCTGGAATTATGGATGGTGTGTTGAATACAGAACTTTCTGTTAGAGTTGTAGAAGTTGTAGCAATATCTTGTGTACGACTGGAAGTGTTGATGCTTTGTTGAACTTTGATAATGTCAGGGTACAACTGTTGTTTTGGTTTTCCTTAGGGTCATAGATATAACGCGTTGGTTTATGTCACAGTGTTTTGTTTGTTGTTTATCGCCACACTCCAGCGGTATTCCAGCTGTCTGATGGCGACCTCAGCATAAATATCTGGTTGTGGAATCCTGTATCATTGACAACATAATTGTCGATCAATACCATAGGCGTGACTCATCTCCAAGTCTCCACGGGTATATACATCAGCGTGAAATGCAGGAAGAATTAAAAGGACTGCTTGGCTTCCTGCCTGCTGGGTTCTCCCACTTACCAGGGTAGATCAGAGTCCTTGTGTCGTCTCTCGGCGCTGGTGGAGACAAATCTTGCTCTGGCTCGGATCAGTCAGCGAGGCTGGAAACAGGGAATATTTTATTCAGAAAACTATGCATACATTATAACTACTGGCCTCAGATTTTCGCCTTTCCACATACGTTGTGCCTCCTCAATATTATGCATGATTAGATTCTAAACTACATTTCTTATATGGAAGAAGTATTAAATATATAGCGGTTTTAATTTGACTGAGATAACTCTTCATGGAGACTATGCAGGAAAAAGTAACACTTTAAATTTAGATTTTACAGTTTGAAATCCTGTGACACACGTGTCTATGCAGGAAAAAGTAACACTTCCTAAATTTAGTTTTACGGTTTGAAAATCCTGTGATTGACAAAATGAACGTCGATCGATACCATAGGTGGGACCCATCCCTCAAGTCAGAATCTCAAGCGGGGTATAACATCAGTCTGTGCAAATGCAGGAAGAATTAAGGACTGAGCTTCCTCCACACCTACCAGGTAGATCAGCAGAGTCTTTGTGTCGTCATTGCCACTGGGTGAATCCGTCTCGCTCTGGACCAGGGTCAGTCGAGGCTGGAAACAGTGAATATGTTGATCAGAGAAACTGTACCAATACCACATGCTGTACATTTCTATCACTACTGGACTCTACTTTTCACTTCTCTACATGTTTTGCCTTTCAATATCACATATGGATAAATTCCAAATACCATCTCGTTATGCAGTAAGAAGGTATCAACATATATGTATTTGATTTGATTGAGATACCTGGTTCATCAAGACCGCATATCTCTGCAGGAAATGTTCTGCAACACTTCCTCAAAGTTATTATTACGAGTTTGAATCTGAAATGTAATAAGCTGTGCACTGACCGTGCGCTTACAGGCTGAGATGCTCCTCTCGGTTCAAATCTATGTAACTGAATAGATTGTTATTTTGTTTTGAAATATAAACATGAACGGTGTAACTAAAGAATCTGTTCGCTTACAGGGTTAGCGCTAGTTAGAAGCGAGCATATTCTACGGAATTGATAACATATTATTGTTTTACTGAAGAAATATAACAAACAAACAGTTCCGAGGACGCA